CAAAGACAATCTTGAAAGCAGCCAGGAGGAATGCCTTGTTAGAAAGAGCGCACAGTTCCTTGGATGACCACTGACCTCTCCCGGAAGCAATGGAGGCCAGAAGACAATAGGACAACAAGGGGGTGGGGGGAGGGAGTCCAACAAATCCCACCTCTCAATCTGAATCCTGTACCTCGCGAGCAACACCTTGCAGAATGAAGGAGAAATCGCACTTTTTCCCCCATAAAAGAAAACGAAGATAAGTCCTTACCAGTAGCTCTCTCTGTAAGAGATACCAAAGGAAGTTTTGCTCAAGGGCGAATCGGATCAGGTACCAGGTGGAGACTCCGATCTTCAGGAAGGAACCGGAGTACCGGGAACGGTCAACATCTGATTGAATGGCGATCCTTTCCTCTCCATTAAAAAAAAATGATGACACCGTCTTAGGTGTCTATACTGCGTGTGGATGTAAAACAAGCGACAACCATCACATAAGCGCCGGTGAAGGGCGGTGAAGTCCCTGGGTTTCATGTGAAGCAGCGAAGAAACCGCTCTGAGCAGAATGAACGTGGAAGACGTGCATTGCAAGCCCCAGAGCCAACGCATCTTATTGGAGGGGACCAGTCCCAGGAAATTAAGGGATCATCCCCACGAGATGGAGTCCATACCTGCCGGCAACAATGGGGCGTAAGCTTTCACACGCACACAGCAAGGGGGTCAGCCTGTCGGGTTAAGTTTCATTGAGTTATACGCAGGGGTGGGGGTGGGGACACTGTGCATCAGGCGCAGATTGTCAGCCCCCAACAGCCATTCACAAAAAGAACCCGTGGGTGGTTCTCCCACAAGAGCTTGGCAGGAGCTGCATTCGCTAACTGCAGTGAGTCCTCCGCTCGCTCGGCTGGGCTGTTTGTTGAATCACCAGCCCGGGTCTCTTTCTCCGCGGCGAGAACCTGGGCTGATGCCTCAACGCCGCACCCGCACAGGGAAGGCCCGGTCCACCATCTCGAGAAATAGGCGTCCACTTGATGGTCCCACGAAAACCCGATGTGCTGTCCTCCAGGGACAGCATTGCTTAGAATAAAGGAGGAGGAGAACCAGTCTGCTTTCCCCCATCTCACGCAGGAGGGCGTCCCCAAGCAGAGACACTTCGTGAGTCGGAAGGAGGCCCCAGCCTCGCTAAAGCCACCAGGCCGAGGTCTAGCCCTCTTTGAGAAACTTCCTCAGGGAAACCCTTCTGGGGTGGGGGGGTGGGGGGTGGGTAAAAGCAACCCAAGGAAGCTTCTCAAAGAGTGAACCACATTCCTGTCTGTTTCATCCCACGACACGTTTGCTGTGAATTGCCCGCAAGGCTGTTGTGATCAGTCGTGTGGATTTGCCGCCGTGTTCCTCTGGACGGTGCATGTCGTGTCACAGGGGGAGCTGAATAGGGGCCTCAGAGTGGCGACCAGCTGTCTGTGAGGCATCCTTGTGCCCTGTGTGGTGCTGAGCACCGTGGGGACCGCACACCTCCCACAGGGGACCAGCAGCGGAGGGTGCATGACTGCAGGGCACTCCGGGCTCATCCCCGCAGGCTGTGAAACATGTGCCTCCAGACATGGCCTCATCCCCAGGACATATGTTTTAGTGAGAAGACTGAGCGGGAGAGAGGAACTGGCAATGAATAATTCATGAGTAGCTGTTTTCAAAAGATAAAATTATTTGCTACTGAGCCCCCACCTCCTCCCCACCCATGGATCCTTTCCGGGGCCCTTGGGCTGCTGGGGCTGCCTCTAGGTGGGTCCCACGTACTGTCTCAACGCCCCCCACAGTCCGGGCATCTCGGCAGAGCTGAGACACGGTGTGTGTGCAGATGGTGGTCGCTGTCAGAATTCCCAGTCCTGCTCTGCCTTCGGGAGGACAGGCAGGCAGGCGTCCCCAGAGCGCCCTGAGGACACACATGGAACCGGCTCTGCTTGCCAGGCTCCCCAGGCCACCCCACCCCACCTGCACTCGCTCTTCCTCTGCCAGCCTCCAGCCTCCCCTGTGGAGGCTGAGTCTCTCACCCAAGGCCGAGGCCAGCGAGGGAGGCGGGACAGGCCACTTCAGGACTCAGGCAGCAGAGAGAGCCACAGAGGTGGGCCTGCTGCACTGCCTGGGTCCTATACCCACACCCGGACCTTGGGCCCCTGAGCCCAAGGATCAGATCTGACGGCATTCCCGGGACAGAGGAGCCACGCAGGCAGCAGCTGGGCAGTTCCTTCCTGCAGCTCTGTGCTGAGGACGGGAGCAGAGAGCCCACATCGCATCAGACCCAGGAGGCAACCACACAGACTCCCTGGGGCCTCAGAGCACCTCCATGACAGCCTCCCCTCCAGCACTGTGAGGGTTAAGGATCTGTCCACTGGACACGCCTGAGTAAGGGTAGGGGTGCAGCTCAACCTGTCAACCTAGCCATTGCATCCTTGGTGCCATCAGCCTTTCTGTGTGTGAGAGAGAGAGAGAGAGAGAGAGAGACCCAGCTGGGTCAGATCCTCTTTGGCGCTTCGCCTTCTTCCGAAACTGGATCTTGCACCTGGTCCCTCCGCCTCCTGCTGCGTGGCCTGCCCATCCCAAGAGCCGTCCATCCTTCAGCAGACTACCAACTGTGGATTCATTCAGCCGACTTTGGGCCTTGCACCCACCAGCTGGTGCCCCCTGCGGTCTCGTCTTCATCATTCTGCTTCCTGTTCGGCAGCTTCCACGGTTCAGGAGAAGCCTGGCTTGAGCTCACCTGTCACTGCGCTCACCTGTCTCTACAACTGCATAAACATCACTGGTTTTGCTTCTCGAGAGAGTCCCACCTAAGGCACCTGGGGTCTCCCGGGGTGCCCCCACCCCCAGCTCCATCCAGCGTTGGCTCAGGCCTTTGCCTGGGTTCCTGAGTCCTACTTAGCTCCCACACTGGCATTTCCCAGGGAGCCCTAGTGGCCCAGCAGGTTCAGAGTTGAGTTGCTCATCCCAAGGTGGATGGTTCAAGTCCGCCAGTGGCCCTGAGGGAGACAGCAGTGACCGTCTGCTCCCCTAAAGACTCACAGCCTTGGAAACCCTGTGGGGGCAGTTCTACCATGTCCCCCAGGTGCTCCAGGAGCCGGCATCAGTCCAAAACACTGGGCTGGTGGGTTTCTGGGAGGGTGCCATCTCCTGCCCGGCGGGCCACCCTGCTCTTTGCCCTTATCCTACAATGCAGTTCAGCCAGCAGTTACGAACAGGTACTTGGTTGGCAGCCTGGTTTTGTCACTCCCTGCTCAGGCAGGTCACCTAAGCTCTCCCAGCCTCAGTTTCCACATCTGCAAAACGGGGCTCTGAGAATGCCTAGCTCAAGGCTGCCATGACAAGAGTCCCTCCCTGTGAGAGCCTGCTCCAAGGCTCATAAGTAACCCGACAGACGCTTGGCTCCTAAAGCCTGCGGCCATTGAGTAGATTCTGGCTCATCGCGCCTCTGCAGGACATAGAAGAACTGCCCACAGAGGTTCCACATCGGGTGACTTCTCATCACTGGCTTTTCAGTTAAAAGTCAACCCCCGCACCTGGCCTGGTTCATACCAAACCAAACCAAACCAAGCTCACTGCCATTGAGTGGAAGCTGACTCACAGCAACGCTGTATGGCAGGGTAGAACGACCCCTGTGGGTTCCCGAGACTATAACTCTTTATGGGAGTAGAAAGCCCCTCTTTTTCTCCCGAGGAGCCCTGATAGTATAGTGGTTATGACTTGGGCTGCTAACTGCCAGGTCAGCTGTTCAAAACCACCAGTGGCTCTAAGGAAGAAAGAAGAGGCTTTCTACTCCCATAAAGAATTAGAGCCTTGAACCCCCACAGAGGCCGTTCTACTCTGCCCTGCAGGGCCACTGTGAGTGGGCATCGACCCCATGGCAGGAAGTGTGATTTGGTTTGGTTTTTCCCCAGCAGAGAGTCTGGTGACCTTGCGGTTAGCAGCCCAATACGTAACCACTCCACCACCAGGGCTCCTGGCCTGGCTCGTAATAGACCATCCATAGGCCCTGCACGCCCGTGATGAAGAGGGCGATGAGGCTGGTCACTTGTCCACAGAACGAGGTGACCTTGGCCCAAGGCCTGCTCCGCCTGCTCAGCGCCTTGCCCTGGGTCGCTGTGACATCACAACCCCTGACACCTCTCAGCGATCATTCAGGCGACCCTCGCACCGCGACCCACCCTTTCTCCAATACCTGTCTCTGACCCCACTCTTCAGAAAGCCTCCCCTCTGCCCTGGCTGGGCCCCACCACCCAGCACGTCTTGGGCTCTTGGCTACACAGATGTGACCTTTGAACCCAGGCTTCCTGAGACCACCTCCCACAGCCTGCCTTTGGGGGGCTCCCCTCCGCGAAGGCCCTCCCTGTGGGTTGTTGACTGACACACCATTGGCCAAAGGGCAGTGATGTCGTCAGTTCCTTGGACAGTCAAGCCAATCAGCCCCTCTCAGTCTTGGTGGCCCATGGGAAGTGTTTGCGTGTGCACCTGCATACACACACACACACACACACAACTGGGAGCAGTTGCCTGGGCGTGTCTGAGGGAAGGTCATGAAGGACTGTCATAGTATCAAACCTACGGGGAGAGAGAATGGTGCCCATAGGCACTTGCAGTCTAATTTGTAGATCCCGGATCCCGGTGACATTTTTGTGGCAATTCCAGCCTTTTCCTTCCCCTGGATGCCTTGTTTTACTTTCCTCGTGTTTTCTTGATTATTTATGGCCCTACATCGAATGGCTCACAAAGTTCAGTTGGGATGCCTTGCTGGCTGGCAGCTGAGCAGGTGTCCAGGGAAGACTCGGGGGCCAGGTGGGGCCCCAGGCTCGCCTCCCTCCCTCAGAAAGCAGAGTCTGAGCTGAGGGGCCCCGCCCTCAGGTCTTGGGTGGGGGCAGGTGCGTAATAATCAAGGGGTGGATCCAGGCTGAGTGGGAAGCGGGCGAGGGGCCCACAGGGGACAGCAGCGGCCCACAGGACTCCCTGACTGCCTCTCCGCCCTTGTCTCCCTTTGCCAGGTACTAGAAATGAACGGGATGTGGATGGACAACGAGCAGTTCGCTCTGCTGACCACTAAGATAGGATTTAGAAAAGAAGGAATGAGTTACCTTGACTTTGCGGCCAGATTCCAAGGTAGCCAATCACCTGGGGCTGCCCCTGCCCAGCACAGGGGCCCTCTCCCACCAAGCCCCTACTGCTAGGGCTGAGGGCTAGTTCTGGGTGGGTGGCAGCAGTGGGTGCTAGGAGATGGGACTGGCCATGCCACTGAATTTGCTTGGGCTATGTTTGGGCCCCTCACTGTCACCATGTCCTGGTTTTCATTTCTGACCAACTTAGAGCCCAGTAGGCTCCCCACCTTGATGCCCCAGACCCCCGGCTGCAGCCCTCCCCCCTGTCCTTGAAGGCTGTCTCCTAAGAGCTGAGAACCCCGGCCAGGTGCCACCAGCCCTCCAGTTACAGCCACACCCTCCATCCTGGTGCCCGCCCACTTGTGGCCACGTAGAACTGAGCTCCCTGGGGCTGCCAGGGACTGATTTTGGGGGAATTAGATCCCCCAACTTTTCTTCTGAGGGCTGGACTCAAGCTGCCCACCCTGTGGTCAGCAGCCAAGCGCTCACCCACGGGGGCACCCAGGGACTCAATCCTGAAAACAGAGACTGCTAACCTGTCCTTGGCAGGGCCCTCACAGGGGCAAGCCCTTCTTCCACCTGGGAACAATCCGGAGGCGGGGAGTCTAAAGGGTTCAGGCCCATATCCAAGGTCACCCTGCCCTGCCCTTCCCCGACAACCCCCTCGATGGGGAGGAAGTTGTGCAGCTGGGCTGCTGCGGCACACCCCCTTTCCTCTCTGGCTACAAACACATTGCAGGTGAGGACAGGGCTGAAGGGGTGGTGGGGTGTTTGCACATTGACACCCTGGAGTGTCGCTGGGGTTGGCAGAGTGACTATACCAGGAGACTCCCCTCCCCATTGGCTGTGCCATCCCCACTAGAGACCCTGCCTGGGAGACCCATCCCCAGACCGAGGGTCCTAGAGCTGAAGGCCCCGCACAGAGCCCAAGCCAGACTTCAGAATGACCCGGACAGGTCTTGGGGTCTGTGTTTTGGCTTGGGGAAGGGAGAAGAAGGACTAGGTCCCCGCCATTATCTAAGGGAGTGATTCTGGCTGTGTGCACGCTCAGGTGAGGAAATGGGGGTCGTCGCCCCAAGCCCCAGAGCTGGAGAGCCAAGTGCAAAGCTGGAACTTGACTCAGGGAGCCTGGACTGCCCAGCCCTGCTCCTCCCCCGGGAGGCCACCGTGACCCCAGCGTCAGGATATGAAACACCCCTTGCTATGTTCCCGGTATTCCCGGATGGATGCAGGCCTGCACTCTTCAGTAGAGCAAACAGGGCCTGGGACAAGTGTGGCACGCACGCCAGGGCCAGCTGTGGAGAGGGAACCACCAGGTGCTCTGGGGCACGAGGCCAGAGCCCCTTTACGGAGGGCTGCTGGGAGGAGTTGAAGCCTGTAAGGATTCCTAAACTCTAAGCCTGTGCTGACCAGAAAGGGGATCCTGGACCCTCTGCATCTGTGGGGAGGAGTGGCCACAACTCTGCAGAGAGCCAGCCCTGCCTAATGAGACGTCCTGGTCTGACACCTGGCTGTGAGCCTAGCCCGCACTCAGCTTCTACACCTGACAGAAACGGGGCTTCTGCACAGGATTTGCACTTTGGCCCACAGCTTCAGGGACATGCATAATGCCATCATCCACACAGCTGTTCTGGACTCAGCCCTGATTCCAGTCAGCTCTAGATCTAGAAGCTGGGGGAGCACCCCGAGTCTCCTCAAATGTGGAATGCTCCTAGTACACCCACCTCTCATTTACCAACATGGTTAGGTTCCAAAGATCAGGTCATTGATGTGAAAATGGGCGTGATGTGGAAATGGAAGATGATGACATCAGATCACACAATGGAGGGTGACAACATCGTTGCGTAACTGCCAAGTCACACCACTATGTGACTGCCAAGCCAATCACGGCGCACCCAAGCTTACACAAAACCTTAACCACCACAGCTAACCTTACTTTCTCCTCACACCCTGGTGGTGGTTCCTGACAGGCACAAAATCTCGTTAACGCACAAAATCGTTGGACGGTCAATTTTTAAAATTTTGTCCTATGTGAAATGTCAGATCACAGATAGTTGCTAAGTGAGGAGACAGTGTCCTGAGTTTTCCCCTGGGTGTTGGGGGAACATCCATGTCTTGTTGTTGCTCTCAGGTGCCCTTGAGTGCTTCTGAGCCATACGACCCCACAGGCGACAGAGGGAGCACGCTCAGCCCTGCACCATCCTCACCACTGCTCTTGTGTCTGAGCCCATTGACGCAGCCACTGTGTCCGTCCGCCTCCTTGGAGATCTTCCTCTCTTTCGCTCTCTCTCCCCTTGACCAAGCATGATGTCCTTCTCGAGGGACTGGTCTCTCCTAACATGTCAAAGTGAGGCCAAGACTGGCCGTCCATGCCTCTAAGGGGCTTCCGGCTGTACTTCCAGGGCAGATGTGTTTGTCCTTTAGCAATCCAGGGGACTTTTCAGGATTCTTCTCCAGCACCATAAGTCAAACGCACCGATTCTGTGGTCCTCCTTATGCAATATCCAACTTCCGCATGCATATGGGCTATTGAAAATACTACGGCTTGGATCAGGCGCACCTCACTCCTCAGCGTACCCTCCACTCCGACAACTCTGAAGAGGTCATGCGGCTGTCCCCAGTGCAATGCGTTTTTTATTTCTTGGGGTTCTTGAGAGACGGGGGGAAAAACGGCATGAAGGCCCTCAAGTGGCACAGAGGTTAACTGAAAGAAGGGCACCAGTTAGAGCCCATTGGCAACATGTCAGAGAAAGATGTGGCAGAGATGACAGCCTTGCAAACCCTCTGGGGAGTTCTCTTCTGCCCTGGAGGACGCTGTGAGTCAGAACCCTTCTGGCCAGTATGGGTCTGGTTTGGGGTTGAACGTCATACTGGAACCCCTTAAAAACCACACCAAACTCACGGCCATCAATCAGTTCTGACTCCTAGGGAGCCGATGGACAGAAAAGAACAGCCCCCATGGGTTCAGAGAATGTCGAGAAAGCCTCGTCTTTCTCCCGTGGAGAGGTTGCTCGTTCGAACCGCTGACCTCGTGGTTTGCAGTCCAACGTGTAACCCAAAACCTCCTCAGGGCTCCCATCGGAGTCCCTGGGTGGTGCAAATGATGCACATGCTCCGCTGCTACAGACTGGAAGTTCAAATCCACCCAGGCCTGCAGATCTACTTCCCCAAACCCAGCTGCCAAAAACCCCCGAGGAGCAGGGTTCTAATCTGACCCACAGGGCGACACAGCTGCAACGGCGCTGCCTTTACTGAGCCTCTCATGTGGGCTGGCGTTACACATCGACGCTCCGTGCCTGCCGACCCTGGGCCCAGCCAAAGGCCACTGGTGCAATCCTCCCCCAAGCACGGGCTCCTTTGGTGTCTCCGTGTCATGTTTTGGTCACTGAAATGATTCCGAGCTTGTCCCTTATGTCCCTGCACTTGGTAGACGGCAGCAGACTGTCAGCAATGTGACTTTCACGGGCACGGGGAAACCCCAAAACGCATGTGGTGGGCTCTGCAGAGACCCTCGCCATGTGTTGGGCCCCGTGTCTCCAGGATCGGCCCGTGTCTCTGTTGCGTGGACATTGGGTCAACAAATCACCTCCTGTGTTTCAAAAATGCTTCTAGGATGTGAAGGGGCAGGACCCCAATTCTCTGCCTCTCACCCTAGGCCCCGCCCTCACAGAGGGCCAGGAGCCGGACAGCTCAGAGCGCCGCCTGCTAGATGAGCCAGGGCACAAGTAGATCCCGAGAGCCCAGAACAGCCAGGTCTTCTAGGGCAGGGGTGGGAACCTCCCCTCTGCCAAGGGCCATTTGGGTCTTTACTACATCATTTGCAGGCAACTTAAACATCAGCCTGCTATATTTGGTCAGGAGGACCCCCGGTGGCATAGCGGCTACCCGCTGGGCTGCCAACTGCAAGGTCAGCAGTTCGAAACTACCAACTGCCCGGGTTTTCTGCTCCTGGAACCGTTCACAATGATCAACATATAGCCCACACCCCCCAAGGTGGATGAACAACAGAAACATGGGTGAAGGGAGACAAGCAGATGGTGTAAGATGAGAAAATAATAATAATTTATCGTTTATCAGGGCTTCGTGAGGGTAGGTGGGTGGGGAAAAAAAGAGGAGTTCAAACCAAGGGCTCAAGCAGAAAGAAAAAGTTTTGAAAATGATGATGGCAACCTATGTACAAATGAGTTTGATACAATGGATGCATGGATTGTTATAAGAGCTGTAAGAGCCCCCAATAAAATTATTTATTAATAAAAAAATATTTTTTAAGCATTAACGTCTCAGAAACTCACCAGGCCAGTTCTGCCCTGTCCTGGAGGGTCACGCTGAGTTGGTATCTGCTCGATGGCAGTGAGGGACATGCGGTTGGACATTGGCCCTGATGGGATGGCTGGAGCTGCCGGCCTTTGGTAAGGTGTGTGGTTTCAGCGGCCACTGAGTCCTCAGACCCCGTGTGGCACGAGGCCCAGGCGCCCTTGGGACCCAGTTCTCAGAGGGAAACAAACCAGGACCTCGTCACACGCCGCCGCCTCAGGAGCTCTGTGGAGTGGCTGGGTGCCCTTGCCGGGCGGTGTTCTCCAGGGCCTAGGGACAGGAAGATGTGCAGGGTGCTGCAGCCAGCCGGGAGCCAGGGGAGGGCGAGGTTTCTGACTGACATGACTGTTTCAGATGTGGACATGAGTCGGCCAGCCTCCTCTGCCGCGTGTCCTGCCCTTCGGACAAGACTGAGCAGTCCCTTTGCCTCTGCGGAGGAGTGCCTGAAACATTTCCCCCTGAGGCTGAAGGAGTCCTTCCAGGTAAACTGAGGCCTGCCCTCCTCTCTGCAGCCCCCCCCC